TTGAATCACAAGATTTACCAATTAATATACCTTTCAATAAAAGTAGTAAAGAGGAGGCTCCGAAGTTTAATAATTGTCACTTTCAAAATGTTAACTTTTACTTTAAATAATTTTATTTAGAATTATAAATAATGCTTGTATTAATATAATATTTTTAAATGCTTTTTATATATCAATCTTATTAAAATTATATTAAACTTTTTGCGGTACGATTTTCGTTTGATATATCACGGTAATTGCGTCATGTTGATATTTTCACGGAAAATTCAACTCCGATAGTGAATCTGGTAAAATATCAATATAAAACATCACGGGCGAACAATTAGTAAGCGGGTAATATTAGTTATTATATGATCTTACTACCTTTTTCATAATTAGTGTCCGCTTTTTAACGGACACTAATTATGAAAAAGGTCAGTAATTGGAAAAATAACGCAAAAGATATCAGTTTTCTTTTGGAAGTTGAAAGCTGATTTTGGGAGCGTAAAATTGTAATTGTAATACATACCGAGATATCTGTCTAAGACAACTTTCAGCCACAAGAACAACCAATAAGGCAAAAAGAAATAATGCTTTGCTCAAGTTATCATGTGAAAATTTGCATTGGTGATCAGAATTTTTAATCGAGACATAATTTTTTTTCATGGTTCAAGACAAATGGGCAAACCTTATTCCAAGTCACAATGTGAGGTAATTTTGCCTAATTCGTTACGGGAAAATAAAGAAATTCATTGTTTATTTTTATTTACCGAATAAGAGATTATTCTGAACGGATCATTTAAAATTAGAAAACTTTTTATTTGCTATTTTTATATTTATCATGGAAAATTCTTTGTACACATAAGTTATTTATAATTTAGATTTCACACCAGATTTATTAGGAAAAAAAAAAAGTATTACAAAGATTTTATGAAGTTTACTAAAATTATCTTTTAAAAAAAAAAAAATGAACGAAAGTACTAGAGAAACGTAAAATGATTATTATTTTTGATTTTACTAAACGTAAGTAAGTTTGCTTATGATTATTATAAGTTTACAAGAACATAACCGGCCAAAGACATCATGGCGCTACCAACGATAGCAACTGGGATTGGTTTATTAACGCTAGCAGCAGATTTTGGAGCGGATTTTCCTGTGTCAGTTGGAGTGGATGGGTTAGTAGATGAGGATTTTGGTACATTCGGGGAATCATCAGCTGGAGTACCAGGTTGTTTTACGGGAGAGTCAGGTTGTATTACTCCGGGTACTTTTGGTGTTTTTCCCTCTTCAAGGACATTGATCGTACCGTACATTTTACCAACAGAACAATGCGTTGCAAAATTACAAAAGTAGTATCTTGGCCCAACAGTATCCAAACTCCATGGGGCTTCCGGGGAAGCATTTTGAGAACCTGTCATGACTTCCGTAGTGAAAGCATCTGGTTTTGCGGATTTAGCGCATGAATTTGCTTCATCTGATTGTATGACATCGTGTGTGCCGTCAACAAATCTGAAGACGACCTTTTCAAATATAGATATTTATAGATACATTATAAATAAACGATTACATCTTAAAATAATTTTTAACGATAGGATAAGAACACTTACAGTATCTCCCACATTTGCATCAAAGTTGTCTGGTGAGTAAACATTAGCACCTCCTTTACCAACCTCAACAGTATAAGTTACACCGTTGACACTTGTAGCGAGGTAAACCAAGGCGACAGACAAGAAAGTGAATTTAACCATTTTTTATTTTTTATATAAGAGTAGAAAATTAGGTTTTTTTTTTTGTTTTTTTTTTTTTATTATTATTATTATTTATCAGAGAAGGATGAGAGAGAAAAAAAAAAAAAAAAAAAAAAAAATTCCAGGGAATGAAGAAAGATGTATTTATAAAAAAAAAATATTGACATTTTTATTGTATTATACAATAGTTGTAATACTTTGGAAATTTCCGTATTTGTCGATCGTTTACTTATTAAATACGTGAGCCAAGTGATTTAATTTTTGCCGTGTGGATTTTTCAAAAAAAAATCATAAATCATAGTATTCTAAATATATCATCATGCCAAAATTCCTTTGAAAGGAACAATATATATATATATACACGTTGAATGGAATAAAATCTTGAAAAGGAGAAAAAGTTTCTCCGCTTTCTCCGCTGTAAATACTTTTACATTAAATTTTTATTAAAACTAAAAACTTTTTTGATTATTACAATCTAAAGCGCTTCAATCGTTATTGTCTTTTTACACCAAACAAGTCATCACATGAAACATAAGTAACACGAATTAAAATAAAATATGTAAAAAAAAAAAAGGAATATATGTAAGTGATATAAAATCTCTTGCGAGATAACAACTTTTTAAATAATATGAATCATACGATAATTATTATATTAAATTTACAGCTAAAGATATCAAGGCGCCACATACGACAGCAAATGATACTCGTTTGCCATCATTAGCGCTTGACGGTTCATCTGCGGCCGCAGCTTTGGTTTTCTTGGATGGAGACGCGGAAGTTGATGTTGATTTGGGTTCTGGAAGTTTAGTAAATCCAGGTACTTGCGGCGTTTGTCCCACTTCAAGAACGTTAATCATAGCGTACATATTTGCCTCAGAACAATGTGTTCCAATATTGCAAAAATAGTATAATGGACCGGCCGTATCTAATTTCCACACGGCTTTTGGAGGAGCTTCTGGGTTACCTGTGTAAGCTACTGAAGCGAAAGCAAGTGGTTTATTGGATTTCATGCACGTGGCCTCTCGATCGGCTTCAATTACAGTATGTTTTGCTTTTGCCGAAACCCAATGAAACACAATCTGTTATAGAGCGTAATAAAAAACGATTAAATGAATGTTTCCAATTAACAAAAATAATTTTTTTTTTTTTTTTATAATATGCTTACGTTATCTCCAACATTTGCATCAAATCTGTCTGGAGCGAAGGCAAGCGTATCATCAACGCCAACTTGAACGGTGTAATTTTCACCGTTGACATTTGAAGCAAGGAAAGCGGTTAAAACAACAGCCAAGAAAGAGAATTTAACCATCATTGTATGTATTTATATATCTATTAAATAAATATATATATATTAATATATAATAAATTTATATAATAATTATCCTTTTTTTTAACGTAACGAAAGAAAAATTTCGAAATTATTTCGAGATAATAATTCGTTAAATTTTATTTTATATTAATTTTTTTTTTTATCGTTATTATTTATTAGAGACGACGAAAGCGACGTTGGGGAAAAAAAAAATTTGGGTTAATAAAGAAACCATATTTATAGAATTTTCGCAAACGTTCGATACAATAATAAAATTTTTTTTTTGGACAAAATCTATGAATTTCTAAATCTATCTTTCATGTACTAACCTTTTAAAAGATTAATTTAACCATAAAATAATCTAATAATTTTGTATTCGTGAATTTATTTTTAAGTTTTTACACTACGATAATTGAATTTTAACCACCAAAAAAAAGTTGAATATTTCATCCTGTCAAAAAATTAATCTAGTCAATGTAAATTCAAAAACCCCCTCAGGGTTTGTTATGTTTTCAAAAGTAAATAAATCGGATTTTCAATTTCTCATTTTAGGAAACGAGGGATTTGTTGATAGGATTCGAATTGGCAAAAGCTTCTCTCAATAGCGTTTGGAACTTCAAATCCTTTTAACCCTTCATATAATGATTTGGAATCCCGGACAAAAAAAACATATCATAATCAAATTTTTATTTATCTTAATTCTTCTCTTGAATGATCTCATGTTGCAAAGGTTTTTTTTATCGTTTTAGTATAAGGGAAAGTTAGTTCACGAAAAAGGTTATTTTGCCAACTTGAAACAAATGCACAACATATTCAAACTAGTTTTTTCTTTCTTTTATCATAAACATAAGCGCAATGCAAGGTCGTAGAACAAGTCACAAATTACCCAAAACAGTAATAATATTTGATAGGTTCAATCTATAGTTCAAGCCAACGAAATCTTTAATATAAAGACTGAATCGTATCTAAATTAGAAATTTATAATTTAAAAAAAAACCGGTTCTAAAATCGCGTTCCTTGCTCATTGTTAAAAAAAACCGTAATAACTCTGTTATTTCATTTTAAATCTTCGAACAAGTTTTGATGAGACAATGGATGAATCAATTAAATTACATAATACACGATGACGCGTTTGGTGTAATCAAAAAAGGTTTCGTGGAACTGAAAAAATTTTTTCCAAAATTTTAATTCAACGATGTGAAATAAGTATCACATTTTAAAGAAAAAATAAATCTTTTATTATTGAACCAATGCACGTTTCTATATAAAGGAATAATAAGTACATCTCATGATTGTCCAAAAGCGAACGCCCATAACTCGATTAGGACTTCATTGGGCGAGACAAACCATTAAATAATACAACAGAATGATTATCAGAAAACTATATTATGCTTTTTTTTTATTTCTTATTTAATCACCATTAGAGACCTAATGAATAAAAGTTCTTAGCAGATGTCAATGCGATTAAAGAAATTATCTTTTTGAATTAAAATGGTTTTAAGAGGGGGATAGGGATATGTAAAAAGTAGGTTGATGCGGTTTGAATTGTTGAATATATAAAAGAAATGTAAAATTTTTATAATTTTTACACAAAAAGGAGAAAAACTCTATATACTATTTTTACAAAAAAAAAAAAAAAAAAAAGAAAAAAAAAAAAACAATTCCACAAAGTTTATGTTGTGATGGTTGTTTTTTTTTTTTTTAAAAAAAAAAAAAAAAAAATTCGGAATTTCCTCCAGGGAATGAAAAATTCTATTTAAAAAATGTTTGTGTGCATGAAAAAAGTGATATATGTACTTCTATGATTATGTATGTATGTATGAATGTATATGAAATAAAAATGTAAAAAAAAAAAAATGCAAAAATATGTGTGTTATATATATATATGTTGTGTTCGTGAAGTAATATTGTAGGTAAGTGTTAATAAGTGTTCGAATATTTTGTTTGTTACGCGGTGGGTTATTTTATTTAACGTTAAACTCATGTTCAACCACTTTGTTAACAATAATATCAAAGTTTTGTTTTTTACCCTCAAATTCATTGCCCAATTCCACGTCTTCAAATTCTTCTCTAGGAGCAACCCTAGGAAAATTATCCAAAGCACGATTATGCTTTTTGAAATAATACCTTAAACCGTATGATGTGAACCCACTCTGAGCGTCCTTGTTGGTCATTACATTGGTGAAATCGGATAACGTGTGATTTTGCACATTTTTGGTATTATTATTTTCCGATCGAGTGCTGCCAGAAAGTTGAGTGCATAAAATGATTACCGTGATGATATAGACCGCCGAACTACTTTGCATGATCACTCCAAGAATGATCATGGTCCCATAAAAAGATCTTCGTATAAAATCACCAACAAATTGATCCAAATTAAATATCATCAAGGACATTATCTCGCAAAATAAAAATCCGATGATTATATGGGTCTTTGAACAAAATTTCCGAAATTGTTTCATGGCTCCTATGTAAATTAATATCCCTTGGTTGACGGCAACCTTCATCCTTACGTTTAAGATCAAGAAGAAGGTCAAACAAATGGTTACTTGGAAGACGTAATAGAATTGCGTTATCATCAACGATCGATTCCAAATCGTTTTGTAGAACACCAATACGCATACTAGGGTAGGGTAAATCATTATGCCATTAATTATATTGAAGTATATGCTAAAATTATAAATGTGACGTGAAATTATCGGTTCCTTGGATAGGGAGTTTGTCAAGGTAGACGAACGAGCCAAAGCGATGAATATTGCGAATGACTTTGTCGCAAATGAAAAATTCCACAAGATTAATGGTAATAATCCTAGCTTGGGAATGGATTTATCATCATTATTTTCAAGGATGGTCAATAAATCCGAAGCGATCTCCAACAACATGGAAATTATGATGAACCCTAAACCAATCCCTCTCGTACTAATAAAATTATTAATAATCTGAGGTCGTGAATTGTTCTTATTTGGAACGTTGGACTGATTGAATATATAATAAGTTGACCATATAAACACAAATGTTATTGACAATAACCTTATCATGTAATTTGTATTAAATATGTAATAATTATTATAAAAATTTTCGTCCATATTGTTTCTGATGAAATGTTAGCACCTTCAAGGGCTAGAAAATTTTGGTTAGGGGAGAGAGTAAAGCGAATGCAACAGAAAAATACCCTCTCTATTTAGCATAGAGGAAGGTTGGTGATGTATGATTAAGAAACGGCGGATTTTGACGACAAGAAAAACGGTGATATTTATCAATGAGGAGGAAATGGAGGGACGGTGATGAAAGGTATCCTTCTGTTAAAGAGGGAAAATAAAAAATGTCCGTCCGATTCCCTTTTTATATGCGTAAATCATTTCATAAGTCGTTGTAGGGAAATTTAAAACAAAGAAGTCACGTGTGCAAGGTTGGTCATTCATTGTTTTCTTGTGGACCAAATACGGTTCAAAACAATGCGCATGGTATATAAAGATAAACTGTGATTCATTTGTTTAATAGATTAACCGTGATTCGTAACACCACTTTAACGCAAGAATAGCAGACAAAGAGCGTGAGATTACAAGGTGGAAATTAATAGGATTTCATTAGTCAAAAAGTTTTGTTTGTATTTGAAACGATTCTTCTTTTTTTCTAAAAGTGTTGTATAAAGGTATATCATAAATTAATTAATTCATTAAACTCTTGTGGGAAATATTGTACAGCATTTTTGGAATCGTTGTTCGTCATTTCTTCAAACATATATTGAGAAGAATGTCCCGTTTCGAAAAGATGATCTTTTTTTTGCAATGCACGTGATAAAATGCGTCACAATCACATTCCGTGATATTATCGCTTGTGCACTTTGTGCACTATAATCCCGAATTATCCCGATCATTTCATTAATCTGCATTAGCCATCCGTTATTCAAATATGTCATTAAATATCAAATTTTGACAGCAATTCGTCAACATCCGATTCATATTTGTACATATTTAGTATAAAAATTAAATTAAACATGTGTCATGATTATCTCCTAATTTTTGGATCAAAAAAAATTTTTTTTATAAATATCAGGCTGAACAACATTTTTTTTTTCCTAAAAAAAAAAAAAAAATGCTTTCAATTTCGGCAAGAAGCGTAATCTCGAAAAATTTATTCTCAAAAAATTTATTTGGTAAAAATGTATTATTACATAAATCAATTCAAAGAAATTACAATCCTTTCATTACCAATAATAATAATACCTTGTACGCGAGATCAAAAATAAATTGCTACAATTTAAATAATTTAAATTCGAAAACATCATTTCACAGTAGTTCACAGGCAGCGATAATACCCGTGTTACCAACGATATTATTTTCAGCACCATTATGCGTACCATATTTCTTGGCGTTAAGATTAGCGGCTTCCAAAACGCTCTCCCCACCGATTTGTACTAAATTATCGTATTTATTCGGATCCGCATTATTAGCGGTACCGACAATGTTCTTGTTTACTTCTGATACGGCCCCGAATACCTTTAGGAAAAGACACATGCTATTATGGCCATGGGAAGATCAAAAGCTAATCCGTAAAGCTAATGAATGCGTAGAAAATGTTCTCACATCCGAAGAAATCGTATCAGTGAACGACGTTAGATATAAATTGATTGAACATATAATGAATCGGCTTTGGGAAAATAACAATGACTTGATTCAAAAAGATGACGTAAAAAAACCAACCTTTTATTTGATTAAAAATGATGAACTGTTGGATGGTGTGTCTTATCCTTGTTCCACCATAACCTTAACCACCTGTTGGTTGCGTTTGGTAGATTATGATGAGGATTTATTGGCCGTGGTGTTATCTCATGAGATTGCCCATATTATACAAAATCATGCTTCCGAATTTTATGGTTTATCCTTCACCCTTAAGGCATTAACTCAATTACGAGAATTTCTTAATACTATCATAAGCATTATCCCTGGAATGAATAGAGAGTCGAATTTGTCGAGACCTTCGGTTTATTTACAAAAACATTCTCAGTTATTAGAACAAGAAGCCGATTTGTTAGGTCAAGTAATCATGGCCAATGCTGGTTACGATCCGGCCAAGGCTATCGAATTATGGGAATTAATGTGTAACATATCCTCGCCTAAAGTTCCCGATGATTCCCATGATGATGATGGTCATGGTGTACGTCATTCATCGGAAAATTTCGAGGAAAATCCTTCTTTTAAATATCATCCTACTAGAGAGCAAAGGGTTAAATATCTCACTGAAAATTTAATTAGTGTACAAAAAATTTATGATGAAAAGACTAAATCTATTGCTAGTAAGAATAAGGAATTTGAAAGAGATTTAGGTTTAAGAAGATTAGAATTAACCGTAAGCGCCATATTTGGAAAGCGTTAATATAAAATATTTTTTTGTACTTGTAAAATTAGATTGTAATATACTTAATTTATTTAATTTATTGTATCACAACTCTTATCATCATCACATTTCACATCATTTTCTTCAAAAATAAAAATTCTTATTAGATTTTTAATGTCAAAGTATCAATTTGGTTTCAAATTTTATTTTTTTAATGTCTGAAATTAACATTTGCAGAATAAAAAAATGTTCATTCGTTGAAGATTACATACCAGAAAATACAAAAAAATCAATTAAGTTGCACAAAGGCAGTGAGTGAGAAAATACTTAAACAATCACCCTTCGACAGCAGATTTTCAGGATAGGAAGGTAAAATAATATTTTGAAAAATATATTGGATGGTATTGATACGAATGAGAAAGTTTGCACTGAATATATGCATTTTTGTGCATACATCAGTGACGTGAATATTTTATTGTCTAAAGTAATTACAAAATTCCTTTTTTTGCATGCTCTATTGTCAATATTTGACCAGCGAAGATAACAATTGGATGGAAGTATAAGAGCAGGAACTTATTACTTTATTGTACGAATATATCAAATCAGAAGAAATAAAAAAAAAAATAAAACGATTTATTAATGTTACAAATTCTTTCCTCAGAATTATGCGTAAAGGTTTGGTCATATGAAAATCACACTTATATAATCATTCCAGCTAAAAAGCATTTAATACTAAATTTTGTAATTCCATAAATCTAAATAAAACCCATAAACTGCCGCATCAGGGATGCCAACAGAGGCACCATTAAAAAGTTCAACGGCAGGAATATGCAATTGATAATTCGGAATACCAGGGGCGTTGCATTCAGTTGTTGAAAACCCAACATTAGTGATGTTATCAAATTGATATTCGTAAGAAATTCTTCTGTAATTTTATGGAGAGGCACTGTGCCAAAAGATATTATAATGTCCGGCACCGTATTATTTTGATTATTACGTAGGTAGCGCAATGCGAGCATTGCCCTCGTACCATTCTGACGCATGGAAAAATAATTTGATCGCAAGATAAATTTGATGGGTCGTATTTGTTAGAAAAGTAGCCTGTCGAAAGATCATGTAAACTAAGGGTTGTCTTGCTGTTGCCAACTTCAACAACCAGAGTTGGATATGGTCTCCCCTCGGAGATCTAGGAAGTTCTTGTGGTCGAATGGTAAGGTCGGCAGTACAGTAATTATTCAGACCCACAATAAGATCTTCTTTATGTACATTAAGTAAATTATTATTTCAGGTACATATTAAGAGTGCAATTCTGCCTGCTACTGCTCCATGTGATGTGAGAGGTACTTCGTAAGCTATAATTTTTCCCATCGACCAAACGAATGCTAACAGGAAGCTTTCGCTCAGTTCTGCAATAATTGATGTAGGCTTCGCGAGAACATTTTCCTTGATAATGATTGGCTTCATATCCTCGTTCGCTTCCATTTTTTCCTCTTGGAACTCAAGTAGACGGTTCCTGGCTTGATTAAGGAGCTCTTTGCTCAGTCGAAATGAAGTCGACTGCATATGAAAAGAAGTTGCGACAATTGAAACAATAGAACTAAAGTTGGATACTTTGGGAGGGTGACTTTTTTTACAGTATGTTAAAATTTAGTGGGTTTAGGGATCTAATAAAAAGACAAGAAGTCAGTTGCATATATGAGTGGAGCTTGCACGTGAAAATTTTATATTAACACTTGGATACGAATCTGAACCATTATAATATGTTGCCTTTTTTCGTTCTAAAAAATATTTAAAGAACTGGAGATATTTTCAATCTAATCACTAACTTTTTTGAATCTATTGATAATAGGGCAAGTAACATATTAGACCAAAATCAAAAATTTTGAATTATTTTTTTTAAATGTATATCAGTGTTGGGGAATTGGACAATTTTGACCTTATCCAAAATATTTAAAATCAAAAAATGTGTCCAAAACCTAACACTGTTCAATGTATATTGTAGGATAAACAATGCTGAGTGAATTATGGTATATTTACGCAAAGTTATTATTTCGTATATAATTATAGGGATTTTAACGGTTCGACCAGTTCGGTTTCAGCCCGATTTTTATCAGGTTGAGGGTAAAATCGAACTGTAGACCGATTTGTAGACCGATTTAAAACGGAAAATTAGACTGGAGTTTATATATATATATATATATTGTATAAAATCTAATTGCAACACGAAGTGCTAATTTCAACATTCTCAATCAAAAATTTTGTTATATTAAAAAATAAACCAAAAAAAAAATCAAATTATACGAAAAAAAAATTTTTTTGCGATCTATCTATTATCCCAAACTTTGAAATAATTTCGCCTTATTATGCATCCTCACAATTTTATTACAATTTACCATTTTTCAGTTTCAGTTCAGTCAGACTGGTCTGGCCATAAACCCTTAACATTCACTTTAATAAAAATTTGAAAAAAAAATCGGGAAAACCGTTAATATTCTTAACGATCATTCCGCAAATGTAATTTGAATAATTCTTACTTTGCATAAAAAAATTATAGTATATGGACATATAATCTGAAATAGATTCATTGAGATGAAGAAAGCTGAGCTTGAGGCCAATAATGCAGAACCTTTAAAGCTGGTTATAGAAGAAACCACCAAAACAAAGCTGAAAATGTTGAACTCAAAGCTAGAATCAAGAAGTTAAAGAAAAATAAGATGAATACTATTGCTGAGCTTAAAGATAAAGTCATGCAATTTGAATAAGGCAGTTGCAAAATAATGATTCTCTTAATAATAGTTCATCTAACTTCAATTCTTCACTTTTGATAGTGAGTAGGTAAAGGCATTAAAGGATAAAGAGATATATACTTTCTTAGTCAAGATGTATAAGAAAAGCATTTGTGATAATATAAGACAATGCAATAAGAAGAAGAAAATTCAGTGTAAACTAACTACTTAGAATATCACTCATGTAAAACAAAAACAGTTGATGTTGATAACAATTTAGATTAGTCAAAGAATCAATTCATTAATAAAAGTAATAGTTCTATTTCTTTAAAATTATTTCATAAAATTGAAGTTATTGCAAATATTTCACAGGATCAAGTTCAAAAAGTATTAAAAATTCTATTATAAATTCAATCTTATTATGTGATACTATATAAAACTTAATATTAAGATTTAAAGGTTATATAAGACAGAAACTATTATTAATACTTCATAGGAATAATCAAAGAAAAATATTACAAATTTTATTATAGATTATAGCTTAATAAATTATTTTGTTCAAAGCTTGTTATAAGAATTTATTAGCATTAACTTCTTATCATTTCTAAAATCTATAAATAAAAATAATATTAAATTAATAAAAAGTTCTTTAATTTTACAAGTATTTTAATAAGCCATTAAAATTCAGCTTATGTATTTTATTAAATGAATATTACAAGAAAAATTTGATTAAAGTAAAATGAAAATCTTTATCTTAGAATCACTTTTCTAAATAATTTGAAAATAAAATCATAGAGTTTAGAAATATAAATAAGAATTTTAGGATAAAATTGCAAAAGTAATTTATAATAAAATAAAATCATATTTTACAAATATTAATGATAACTATTTATATATAATAATCTATAAAATAAGAAAAGTTAATAAGTTATTTAAATATAATTATAATCCTGTAACTCTAAAAAAGATTAATAATATAGGATAATATATATTATTCAAATTATTTGCAATACTAAAGACTCGCTAATTCTCAAATCTAATATATTATAAATTAAGTTAATTCAAATCTATTAATAATATTTATAATCAAAAACATATAATTGAAATTTTTAAGATAATATATTCTAAAAAAATCTTGTCTAAAAATACTTTACTAAAATTAATGTAAATAATATAGCTTCTGTTTTAATTCACGTTCCTAATTTAAATAGTAATTATAATAATATTTAAATTTCTTTAATGATATTTTTGATACTGCTTATAATTCTTAAAAAAAAAAGTTTTTAAGAAGAAAAATCAGGATAAAAAAATAAAAACTTTAATAAGAAAATACTAGAGGCAAATGTATTACTTGAACTTAAATTATTACAAATACAATTTTTTTTTTAATTTTATATTTTATCTAATTCTATTGAAAATAAAAAGAATAAATATAAAGATAAATATAATATTAGATAAATTAATTTTCATTTATTATAAAATTATTAATATAATAAAAAATTGTATGTAATAATCATATTAAAATTACTATATAAATAAAATGATTAAATATATATCATTATACAAATTCTCAGTAAAATTTAAATTTTCAAATTAATTATACAAGTTTTTATATATGTAATATAATATAATTTACTTTTATTGCTTCTATTATGAAATATTAGAAACTATTAAAATCTATTTTTATTAAAAGATTTTTTAATTAGTGTAATATCATATTATTTAATTCTTTTGCTTTGCAACAGGTTAGCAGCTAGTTATTAATAAAATAATTATATTATCAAAATACAATTCATCTGTCAAATACAATTTAATTAATAATTTGTTAATTCATATTAAAATATAGATATAACAAAGAATATTATTATAAAAATAGAAGATATAAAGAAAAAATTTACTTAAAATAAATACGATTATCTTTAGTATCTACCTAGAATATATAATATTAATTAAACTTTTACTTATTGATAATCTCTTTTAATCAAAATATTAGAATATTATAATTTATAATATTATTTATATAAAAAGATAGCTCAGTTAAAAAAAATTGATCTATTTTCTTTATATTTAATCTCTTAATTTTTAAATATAAGTTAAATTATTTTATTTATTAACTGATTTTATACATAAATATTAATTAATCTTTACCTTTAAGGATATTTGAGTTTCTATATTATTTACAAAATTTGTATTAAGATGAAAATTAATACTTATTTTAGTTGATTTAAGAATGCATCATTATTATCTATTTCAATTTCTAAAGGATTTATGTTATGTAATTTTAAGATTACATGATATATTTTACTAAAAATTATAAAAAGAAAGAATATTAAATGTATTAGATAAATTTATCAGTTGATTTTTTATCTATTTTGCTTTTTTTCACAACTATTTAAAAAAAAATAATTTAATTAATAGTTAACTTTATATCTTTTAATATTTATGATTGAAAAAGTAAAAATCATCATTATAATACTAATCTATTTTTCAGCTTTATAAATATACAAAATCAAAAAAAAACATATTATTTTTATTAATCATTTGGTATAAATTTTGATTGTTTAGATAAACTTATTTAAATTATATTACAAATATATTATTTTATAAAAGAAATACTATATTAAATAATAAGTAATACAAATAATAATATTATTTTAAGGAGATTAAGTATATCAGTATAAAAATTTTATTAATTTATTAATAAAATTTTTCTTGATAATGTAAAAGATTATTTATACTAAAATCTATATTTTTAATTTAATTTAGTTAATATTATACTATATAAAATTCTATTTATATAGTCAGAATATACTAAGTAGTATATTTGATGACTATATAATTATTTATATTAATATTTGATATATTAATAATTATCTAATTTATTAATATTTGTATTAGTTTAATATTACTTTTAATTGTATTTGCAATTTGCAAAATGTTAAAATTATAAAATGATATATGTTAAAAAAAATGTATTATATATATAAATTTAATAATAATCTTTTTATCTATAAAATAAAAAAAAAAAAACTCTTATTTTAGAACAGATTAAATATAATATAAATAAGATAAAAGAAAACTTACAATAAGTTATATTAATTTTTATCAGTATATATAGATTTTATGTAATTAATAAAATATTTATAAATCTTAAAATAGAGGATCAAAGCTTTATTAGAATTAATAATTATATTAAATGTATTAATAATATTTGATTTAATATGAAAAGTTCTTCAATTAAGTTATTAATAATTATTTGTTACTATATTATATAACATAAATTTTTAATATATTAAAGTAATTACAATTAGCTCAAAGGTTATATAATTAAAGTATTTTTTTAATAATTAAAATTTATAAAATATAACAAATAACATTTCAAGATATTAAATAACAGGAAGTGAGTTTTAAAATTTAGAATTAACTATTCTAAATATTTAATGATTTATAAATATAAAAAAATTTTTTAATAATAATTTTAATACTTAATAATATTTATAATTAAATCATATTGAATAATTAAAGCAATATTTTAAAAAATAATATTAACATTTTATAAATTAATACAAGGCTTGATTTTAATAAATTACATCAAATTTTATATCAAAATTTTATAAAATCACATTTTAAAAAAATTGTAAAAAATTTGAAAATAATTAGTAATCTTTATAAAAAAATAATTTAAATATATAAACCACTTTTTTTTTAAAATAATATTGTAGAAAACATAGACTAACTTTCAAATATTCTTGATTTAAATTTAATAGAGAATCTTTAACAAGAGTTAAAGAAATGTAAAAAGATAAATTATCATAAATCTCAATAATTTAAGCAATGTAAATAATAAAAAAGAATTCTGTATGATTTGACATAATATTCATAATTTAAATAATTTGTTATTTTATATATATTTATAATATTATATTAAACATCTAAAAATACAATTTAACTTTAAATTTTTATAAGTTTTGTAACTTTTTATTTAAATAATATTTGTACAAACTACAAAATTTGATAATTTCTGACCAGATTTAAAAAAAAAAATTGTTATCACGTGTTTTAACGATCCAAAATTCAAATAAATAAATAAATAAATATACAGTTATTTAGAAGGTGATGTTGTGATTTTTGCAATACTTAATTGCTTGATCATATTTTTTGCTAGCGGCCATCATCATATAATATTTGCCTAACTCATCATTACGTTGCGAGAAATAATAAGTAGAAACATTAAACATAGCCACCACATGATCATTTTTCGCTGCTTTAAGAAAATATTTAACGGCCTCTTCCGTATTTGGTTCAACACCTTTTCCTTGCATAACCAATGTCGCATAACGAAGCTGCGCGTCAGGAAATTCATCCCCATAATCTGCAGCTTCTTTGTAAAGTTCAGCAGCAATTTTATATCTTTCACTCTTAGAACAACTAAGGTCAGACCAATCTTTTAAGATAAAATAAGCTTTCCAATATTTTGCAACTGGAATACCCATTTTAGCATAATTATCGAAACACTTATATAATGTACTTTTATCCGTACTGTCTTTTTTGTGTTCGTCAATTGCCTTTTCAAGGCTCATCGAATTAATACTATTGAAATCAATAGCACAATCTTCATCTGCTGCCGCAATCGTGTGGACAGTCAATTTTCGGACGGGAGGAGGTAAAGGAGGTCTACCGTTATTTAAAGAACCGGAACGGCTTATGGGATGTTGAGTATAATTATTAAAGATATCTTTAAGATCTGTCAACATTTTTGAGAAGATAGGTCTTCGACCTGGATTTTGATCGACAGCTCTATTTACGAGAGATTTATATTGTTCTGGAATAATGTTACCGGATGTAAAGGGTTCTCGATGACCCTTTATTACTTTTTTGGTAATTTCTAAAAAGTCACCAATATTCTCATACGGAACCCTACATTCAGCAATTTCCCAAAGAAGAATACCAAAACTGTAAACTTCACATTTGGTATCATATTTTTTATTCTCTCCCCTTCTTTCTTCCTCATCTGCCTTGCTCTTCTCTACTGCTTCTGTAATTCTTTTTAACAATTCAGGAGCAGTGTATACAATACATTCTTTATTTGCGGATAGATTATTAGTAGCCGTATTATGTCTTCTACTAAATTTAAAATTTGTAATCTTTGCAACTTCATAATTTGTGATTACGATATTTTCTGATCTAATATCCCGGTGAACGATCTAAATAGGATGAGAGGAAAAAAAAAAAAAGATATATATTTTTTTTTTAAATATTTAAAAATTGAAAAAAATTGAAAATTTTAAATGTTCAATATAATGTTGGAATTTATTTATTACCCCGACAGAATTAATGAAATTTAACCCTTTAGCGATATCATAAGCAATCCTAATCCTAATTCTCAATCTCATGTCAATATCTTGCGCATTTGAAGTAAGAAATTCACGTAAAGTTCTATTTTCTGCCCATTCGGTTACCAAATGATAATTACTTCCATCATGAGTAAGGCCATAGAATTGAATAATATTTTGACAATCTTTTAGCTTTTTGAGAATAGTGACTTGATTTTTAACAGTATTATAATTTTCTTTATCCACAAGTTTAAAAGCAAAATCCAATTTAGTTTTTACGTGAATAAATTTTCTTAATCTATCACTTCGAGGTGGTTCATCAGCCTCTTCATAATCTTCGAATGGAAGTAGGGATTCATTAAAGATAATATCAATTTTGTCTTGATTGCCTTTTTCATTCTTTTGATTATTCATCAAATTTTGCATAGTGATTTGCATTTCACTGACTTTCTCGATAGTGTTTTGCATCTCACTGACTTTCTCGATAACCAATTCCACTTTGTCGTTAGCTCCAACGATTTTTTCGTCTACACTAGTCATTTTCTCACCCACGTCAGCGATACTTTCCGCCAAAGCTGTTTGAAACTTTAAAAGTTCTTCGATGTCTTCCTTTAAAATTTTATCTTCTTTTTCTGAATCAATCTTAAAGCCAACCGTTAAGGTGAAATTTAATAAGGAAATGCTGCTATCATAATCATTACATAATTCTTTATATTGTCGTTCGATTGATTTAGCCCCCAAAAATTTTTGTACAGTATTAAATTGTGTTATTTCTTCAATGTATTTTTTCATTTTTTGAAGAACCTGAACTAATCTTTGTAAACTTGTATAATCTTTTGAATTAAAGAAATCTTCTCTTGCTTGTAATATCTGAACTGCGGAATTTGCTGCGGCAATGCGTTCCATCAAAACCTCGGTTATATTTTTATTATGTTGAGCCGTCCTGTATAAATCTGTAACCTTATTAAGAATGTCAGTTACATCTCTAATAAGTGGAATGAATTGTGCGAAAGGGACAGCAATTGTTGTTACTGCCTCAACAGCGTGAGAAGCTACTTCTACTCCATAAAGAATAGAATCTGTCACATCGGCAGCTGTATCAGCCATTTCATCGAGTTTTTCTTTCTTATCTTTCTTCTCCTTCTTTCCTTTATTCATTTTTAATTTTTTTGAATTTTTGAAATTTTTGAATGTTTTTTTTTTTTTTTTTTTTTTTGAAAACAATAAAATAATAATTTTGAATCCTTTATTTATATAAACTTTTTTTTTTTAGTTTCACAAACTTTAAATTCTTGTTCGACTTTATAATGGACAAATGAATTACCAAATTCTAACTTCAGTAGATAAAAAAAATGAAAATTCAATTGGGATAAATTAAATGCGTTGCGCAAAAGAGATTCCGTGTCGCGTTTCACGAGGAAGGCTTAGGCTTCACTTGTGCGACTCGAATTGAAAAATAAAAATCCCAAACCCCGTTTTCATGTGGAACTTTATTTACAATAAACTTTTTTTAAAATTTAATCCACCAACGATACCTCTCATCGAAAATTCTTTAATTTCACTTTCACTATAACCGGATTCTTTTAAAATTTCTTCACTATGCTTACCGGGATCCAAGGATTCATTGATGTGAGCCAATCTACCGGGGGTTTCGTATAACTTGGGGGCAGGTTCTGGTACTTTCCCACTTAATTCATAAACGGGTGTAACGCATGCATCACTACCAAAAAATACTTGATTCCATTCATCTTGCGTTTTAGTCATGAACTTTTCTTTAAACAATTGTTTCATTTCATTCCATTTCGAATTATCTAATTGGGATGGTAAGGAATTCTCATTTAAACCTAATCTTTTTAATAATTCTGCATAAAATTGCGGTTCAATAGCACCGCTTAATTTATAAAGGAAAAAAAAAAAAAATTTAATCATAAAAATAAAGGGATGATTAAATTGAGATAAAAAAAAAAAAAAAAAATTACCTACACGGCCATATATTTATTGTCCTTGGTTTCGTAAACTTCGTAAAAATGAGCACCTCCGTCAAGCATATTTTCTCCCCGGGGTTCAGTCATCAACTGTTTCATTAGCTTCATTAAATGAAGGAAAGTTGCCAAATATTTGACACCATCAACCTTTTATATAAAAATGTTTATGATTATTATTTGATCAACTAACTAAAAATATTTCACACTTTAAATTTTAAAAATACCATCGCAACGTCAATGATTTGACCTTTTCCCGATTTTGATCTTTCAATCAATGCAAATAAGATACCCAATACACACATCATACCACCACCAGCAAAATCAGCTATTATTGAACAAATTTAATAAGGAAGCCTTTTTTGTCTTCAGCAAAAAGAAAAATAAATAAATAAAAAAAACCTAGAATGTTCAATGGAAACATGGGACGGTCATCCTTTCTTCCAAGAAGCTATGAAGGTTAAAAAGAGGTTGGGATGAAATGCAATTTTTTTTTAAAGTAAAAAAAAAAAGGTACATCATATAATGCCTACCGATAATACACCGGAAACTGCAAGATAATTAATATCATGTCCCGCCATATTAGAAAATCTACCTGCGCCAAAAAAAAGAAAAAAAAATTTTTACTTGTTCAAAAAAGTGTTTCAAAGTTGATATACCCTTTATTACAAAAATACCTTTTTGACCAAAACCGGTTAACCTAACATAAATTAACTTTTCATTAAGTTTACATAATTCATTCGGTCCTAATCCCAACTTTTCCATCACACCAGGTCGAAATGGTTCAATCAATATATCAGTATCGAGGTAAATTAATCGTTTTAAGATTGAGATTCCAATTGGTGATTTTAAGTTTATAGAAATTGATCGTTTATGTCTATGATAGATTCGTAAAACAAACGGTTGATATAATGTAATGCAATCGTTTTCGTTAAATTGGTTATTTCATTCACCTTGTAAGTTTGTCCATGTTATTATGCATGTTTGTGGATTTATCAACTCGGATGACGTTTGCACCAAAATCTGCTAATACCATCCCTGCAAATGGTGCAGGAGCTAATCCTGCAATCTCGATAACTTTTATTCCGTCAAGAGGCAATAATCTTTTAATTGATGACATCTTTTATTAATTCAAAAAAAATTATGGTCGATTTTTTTTATTCCGAAATTACTCCTATTTATGGATAAATTACATAAAGATTTTTTTTTTATTTGACCAAAATTAGTTAAATTAATCAACGCAACCCGATAACTTTACAAATTTCTTCAAAGTTTCTTTTGGCAATTTCATTTGCTTTTTTCGCACCATCCTCAAGTATACAATTCACATATCCTTCCTCTTTTTTTAACTTTTCAACCTCTTTTTGAATCGGTTGTAAATTCTGTACGATCACATCAACAACCGACTCTTTAAACTTTTTATTATCGCTATTTTTATATTCATTTACAACTTGTTCGATGGTCAAACCCGTAAAACTGGAATAAATATTAATTAAATTGGATATCCCAGGACGTGTATCAGGCGAATATGAAATTCCTTCTTGCGAATCCGTAATGGCCCGTTTTATTTTTTGTGAAATATTCTCGGGTGAATCTGTCAAATTTATTCTAGAATATTCGAGTGGTGTAGATTTTGACATCTTTTTCAAAGGATCTTTAAGTGATAAAATACGATTCGCCGGAACTAATCAAAAAAAAAAAAAATTATTCTCAGAGAATTAAAAAATAAAAAAGTTAAAGAATTTTTTTTGAATTTACTTACCGAGGATAGTTTGTGGTAATGGAAATACATTTCTCTTATACAATTTATTAAATTTATCGGCTAAATCTCTCGTTAATTCCAAGTGTTGAATTTGATCATCACCAACTGGTACATGGGTAGATTTGTAAAGTAATATATCAGCAGCTTGTAATACGGGATAAGCAAATAATCCAAATAATCCTAAATCCATTCCACGAGTGATATCAATATTCTCGGTTAATTTTACATTTTTTTGTTCTTGAAATTTGGTCTTCCATTGTGTCATCCTAGATAACCATCCAATTGGTGTAATACAACTCAATATCCATGATAATTCCGAATGTGCCGATACCTTTGATTGCTCAAAAATCAAACATTTCTTTGGATCGATTCCACAAGCCATCAATATAATTGTCATCTCAATTTTACTTTTCTGCAACAATTTTGCATCCCTTGGAATTATTGTAAGTGCATGTAAATCAACTATAGAATATAATATCAATTCGGTTTCTGATTTATTCTTTTGTAATGTTACCCAATTCTTTATGGCTCCAAGATAATTTCCTAAATGTGGTGTTCCTGTTGGTTGGATTCCCGAAAATGTTATTTTTTGATGTATTGGAGTTTCCTTTTTCCCATCATCTCTAGTCGTTCCTACATAATTCCTCTAATATTAAAAAGAATTAATTATTTATAAATTTATTAAGAGGAAAAAAAATTTTTTTTTTTTTTTTCCTTACAAATATATTCCGGAAATTAAGGATTGAATAAAGTTCCCCCTTACTCTTCAGTAAAGGTGTTAACTTATGTTTTAACATCATCCTAACAAAGTTTCATAAAAAAAAAAAAAAATTTCATATTATTATTGGACATCATTTCCGATAACGTAATCAAATATAAAATCCCGTTAATATTTTCGAATATCAATAAAAATGCGAATTTATTCAATTATTATTCTAATTTTATTCATATTAATGCAAAAAACAGTTATTCAAAATATAAGAGCGAATATTTAAAGAAACATCTTATGATCGTCTACTTAAGATCAGTTCCAGCTGAATTAATACTTGACTTATCAAAGTAATGTGTTTTAGGTGTCTGCAGATACTAAGGGATCGCTATGTTCATCACTGGTGTTAGATGGTGCTGGTGAATTAGATATAGATGAAGAAATAGACGTGGTTTGATATGGAAGTTGTAAATAATTATTAATTAATGAATCTCCAAACAATTGAGTTTCCGAAGGAGGTAAAATATCGGCGGCAAAAGATGTAGGGGGAAGAATCAAATGAGTGGTAGGATCATAAAATGAATTGTTATTTTCAGAGGATTCCTCTCGTTTAATTTCAGGAATTCTTTGAGTTTGTTGTTGCTGTTTATTATGTTCATCCATAATGGTGATCGTTGGAAACTCTGTAATAGCTTTTAATTGTTCTGAACATTCTTTAGCTTCATTAATTTTGCTTTGAGTATCTAGAAGAGTTTTGTTATCTATTCTAAGCTTCATTTCTTCTTGTGCTATTATTTCTTTCATCTGAATGATGAATTGTGTTCGATTAGAGATATTCCTTGTGATCAGATTTTTTTGTTCTATCAGCACTCGAAGGAGATAATCAAGTTGTTGCGAAAGAATGGATGGTCCGGGCTTTTCTATGGATCAAAAATCTTTTTATCAAATTTTTCACATGTTGAAACCTTTAAAAAATAACAAATCAAGTTTTCATACCTTCTGCTTCCATTATTTCCGTCCAAAGTTTTGCAACCTTCCTTCCATATTCCTGAATGATAGATTCCATATCTACAATAGTATGTGTGGTCGAAACCAATTTTGCCTAAAGATCGATATTCTTGTAAGATTAATTTAACTTCGACTGAGGGAAGAAATGACATCAGATTTCAGACATCCGAACACTTACTATATCAGAACGTCCAGGGGGTGGTGATATAGAGGTACCTGCCTTCGTCTGTTTATCTACTTGCCTTTTTGCAATAGAACTTCCAGGTAGTGATGAATTCGTTCCCGCAAATTTTCTCCGTAATTCATCCAGAAAATCTTTATCAAAGACTTCACGTTCCTCCCAAATATTGACAACACGCCTTATCTTGTTTTGAACATCGGCAGTGGCATGACGATAAGTATGTTCGATAGCATCTGGAAGTACTTTACGGAATTCTCTTACAAATTCCGGACCTTTACGACGACTATTTTGACAAACATCATTGCAGAGGTATATGAATGAAACTTTCCGCGCTGAACTTGCTTCATATTAAAAGGTTTAATCAAGTAATTAATAGAGTCGTTAAGATATCATGATCGGGAATGTCAGAATCTACCTTTTCGTAACTCTCGATTCCAAATATCCACACTAGTTGCTACATGTCGTCGGTGGTACATGAACCCTATAATAAATAAACTATATATGAACAAGATGGAACCTTATAATGTTTAGGAGACTTATAATGATAACGTTGCAAAGATTGTGTTGACTAAAGGCTTTAAATTAAAAGAGTAATATATGTGTATATATATATTTACTAAAGAGAAATACCAACACTGTGACAGTAGGGAAATAGATTCTTGAGTGTCGACAAGTTTGTTGAGTTTAGAGATTAGTACTTCCTCGGAGTAGGCTGACATTTTTTATAGATAAACCTTAGGATATTTAACTGAAAAGCGAAAAAAAGAAAGCCAAGTATTAGTATGAGAAAAGAGAAGGTAAATACTATATATATAATTTTTTTTTTTTTTGAAAACGCAACTCTTTCGCGGTAAAACCAAAAAAATTAAAGATCACATGAATATTTTCTGTAATCGATTGGTTGAATGCGAAATTTCTCACGATGAAAAACGTATATAAGATCTGAGATCAAATCGTATTTTTTTTTATATACGAGATGTCTGACAACTGTTCAGAAAGTAGTATCAAACGCCAAAAAATAAATTTAGGCAAAAATGATATTGTAGAATCTAGCATACAACAACATGTATCTTATGAAGATTCTGGCATTAAACTTACGACAACTAAAAGTCTTCCCGATTCAGAAAATGTCGAGAGCGTCTCTCTGAGTTCTATCCTATACTCGGTTCGGAATTTAATTTATTAGTTGCTACCATCCCAAAAGTTGATATATTGAATTTAATTTTTAATAGGAAGATTTGATAGAAATGGTTCAATTCAATTATATGTTTGAACTTGAATTTCTGATGTCGAATCTACCTAAATCTAAGCAAAAAACCATTCCTACGACTATTGTGCATGGACTTAGCGAAGAAAGTGAAAGATATTTAAAAGTAAGGTTAACATAAAAGAAAACAAAAAAAATTCGTTTAATTGCGATTCTAAACACCCCTCTTGAATTACCAGTCGGAAGCAAATCTTTTCAAGAATGTGAAACTTATTTCACCACGACTACCTATTCCATACGGTTAGGTTTAATAGTTATTTGTTTCTGATTTATTTTCAATGAATGTATCTATAAAAATGTATATTATTAATTCTTAGGAACTCATCATACAAAAGTAAAAGATATTGTACATCAATCATCATGATGCGATATATTGTTATAATTTATCAAATATTTTTTACATTGACTTCTCATAGGCAATGTTACTTTTCTACGCGAATTTCACAATGCGTATGGTTATCCACACTGCTAACGCAATAAGAAGGGACTGGGCGTATGTTGCTATCTTAGAAAATTACTAATTCTCTATGAACAATTTGACTAAGTTTCTTTTCTTTTTTTTTTTTTTTTAAAAAAAAAAAAAAGCGATAAAACACAAGGAGTATACATGACTCCGTTTCTCCCAAAGAAACGTGAGAATGCTTCATGTTCAGAATTCGAGTTGGATTTGATTGAATATTTGGATAGCTATGGTGATAAATTAAAGCATATTCGAAATAAAGTGAAGGAATATGACTTTTCAACTGTCAAGGTGAATTATCATATATGAATAAATATTGTTCATGAATTGATATGATTTTTACTGATTCAATTATTTACTAAAGGCGAAATTAATTGCATCAGTACCGGGTTATCATGTTAATGAAAGAATGGAACGATTTGGGCACATGAGGCTTAGGAATGTTTTAAGACACGTTACTATCCCGTTATCATGTAAACTGGAAAGTACCGTTATATGCCAATTCTCCAGCGTCGGATCACTAGGCAAAGACGAGAGTTGGTTGATAAATGAATTCGCAGATAGTCTAAATCATGCAAAAAATCAAAATCAATGCAGTGACCCGGAAATAAAATTAATCTATCCAACTGTTGAGAATGTTCGCGATAGGTATTTTGTTTTTTAAATTTTTCAGTCATTAACATGTTTCGAATTGGTTAACGATATCATTTTCATTTTTATAACAAGTTTGGAGGGATGGGCGGCTGGTCGAGCATTACCTTTTAGTCATGAAAATTATTTAAAACAAAAAGTTTACATGCAGAAATATTTGAATAAATGGAAGGCAATTGAGGCTGGGAGAGATCGTGCAATGCCACATATTAAGGTTCTTAAGGTTTATTATAAATAATCTTAAACATCATATTATTTATGATTCTAATTGGTTTGGATATTTTAGACATATTCTCGAATGAAAATTTTGTCGAATTTGTCAACAAATAATTCGGATTCAAATGCAGATATTGCATGGTTTTTATTGACCAGTAGCAATTTATCCAAAGCTGCATGGGGCACTTTACAAAAGAAAGGCAAACAGTTGATGATACGAAGTTACGAGTTGGGTGTATTAATCTTTCCAGAATTATTCCATGTAAGTTTCAACGTAAATGGCTTTTTTTTTTTTACATTATACATTAATTTTTTTTATTTTTTTTTTTTATTTACTTTCTCAGAAAGTTGAATTTACTTCGGTCCACCTAATAAATTCTATTCCTCGTAATTTAAAACCTACATTACCATCTTGTAACACCACTTCTTCAAATTCAACTTTATCTAAGAAAAGGAATCGATTGGAAGAAGGAGGAACATTGATAATTCCTATTCGTTTACCTTATGACCTACCATTAACACCATATAATTTTCAAGGTGGTGATGAATGCTGGACATGGAATATACCAAGAACTGAAACGGATTGGCTAGGAAATATATATAGACCTTGATTATCTTAAATATAACGGTTTTGATTTTAACATTTCTATGGTATATTAAATGAAAAATTTTTTTGTTTATTTTTTTTTTTTGAATTTTGAATTGCACAAATTATATTAGTTTTACATATACCAACGATTATCAAGAATGGTTTTATGTATAATATAGTTCGATATTAACGCCATTACTAATTGAATCTAAGGATATAGTTGATATAGTGTTAATTATTATTAATAATAATAACGATAAATAACGAGTAAAAATAAAATATAATTAATAACTTACAATCATCTAATGTGAGTTTATTATTAAGAGAATTGATACCTCTTCATAAAATGGATAAAAATGTGGTGGTAAAATTAGAATGATTTAAAATTAAAATTTATCATTATCGCATACATATAGATACTTACCCATATCTTAATTTGATCTTATTATAAGGAGTACCGATATGAGCTGCGAGTAATTTCTTAAATTCTAAAATTGTGTCGTTTGGACTTGTATGATTGAAATCAAAAAAAAAAGAAAATGGTGAGTAATCAAGCGATCAAAATCGAACGTTTCAATGACCTTGTAAAAGTTAATTAGTAGGAATACTAACGAGCACTTGACCTGAACCTTTTTGCCTAAACGGTCGTTACAAGTGACCATAATCATTTCTTTTGAGTCAGAAGAAGTCATCGCTATGAAGTAAGGTCAAATTTTAAAATATGTTGGAAAACGTGTAAACTTTGATTTATTAGTTTTTGGTTTTGTTCAACATTCAAAGTCATGTGATTAGTTTTCCCTATATAAATAAAAAAAATTTTTTAAAGTATATTACTTCGCATCCGTAATTTATCACATAATATAACCATAATAGATTTCTTTTAATATTGTTATCAAAATTTTCCCCCTAAATGCCGCAAAGTCAGCCAATCTTTATTTTTACTTTTTTAACATTTTCTAAAAATAAAAAAAAAATATTTCTTATTACAAATTTTATCAATTTTATCATAGCATTAATCTATAAAATAATAAAATTCTAATAAAGATTACTTAGTATTTGATTTAAAAGATATCTATCGACGAAGATTTATAGATCTATAAAAAAAATTTATTCTTTTAATCCTGTTGAATGAATTATTAATATGAACTCAAAACTATAATTACAAGTTTTATAAAAAAAAAAAAAAAAAAACAAAGAAATTACATAAAAATAAAATTCGCACTTTGAATAATTATCAAATCTTCAAATATGCGATAAAATTAAATGAATATCAAGTGATCCTAATAAGAAACGTGTCCTAAAACTTACATTTTTTGAAAAAGGAAATAAGATTTCAAGTGTAATAACAAAGTTATAAAATCATTTCATTCTATAATATATATATACATATATATCACCAAATAACTTGATTTTATATTGACAAAAAAAAAAACGACATCGCTCCAATAAACAAAAATAATAATACAAAGTAACATTCTTTTATTATTTTGAATCAGATTCTGATGAACGACTAACAACATCTCTTTCTGGTCCATCATTAATATTACGAATTTCTACTTTTGTGTGCCTTCTTGAAAGATTTTGTAAATCGGTTCCTTCCTCCGCAAGTTCCTTCTTCATTAATTCTTTTGCTTCTCTCCTCCGTAAACGTTCCTCGTTTGATAAATCAGTGTCATCGTCGTCATCTTCTTCGGGCTTCCAATCCGGTTTTCGCAATACTTTACGAAAAGCATCTGAAAGTAGTGCAGCGTCTGAAGCGGATATTGGTTGATTATCATTAGGTATAGTGGTTTTCGGTTTTAAGCGTGTTTCTTCTTTCATAGCAAGTGGAGTTGTGGAATGAATGGATTCGGATTCTATAGGGGATTCAGAATCAACGTTATTATTTCCGAATTTGCCAATAGATAAAGGTGTAACCATTGGAGTACTTGAAGATGTAGAAAGATTAGAATGACTTTTATGCTTATTTTGATTACTGAATCGTCTTTTACTCCTGATAGCAATTACAACTGCAGCAAAGGCCAAAAGTGTAGCGAGACTAGCCACCGCTATAACTGCAATCAACACTTTATTTTCGGAATTATCGTCCTGAGCCTCCGAATTAAGTGGTGATGTAGCTGGAACTACTGGAACTGTTGGAACTGTTGGAGCTGTTTGACTTTTTGAACCGGCTGTTGTCGAATTCAATACTGGTCCTGCAAAAGTTTAAAGAATTTTTAATATACCTGACCATATAAATTAATAAAGTTGAGAATCCTAAAAAATAGTTACTTACGTATGACTTTAAATTGTGGGGTTGAAAATTTTATATCTAATTTCTTGTCAGAGTCACTTGGAAAAACTCTGAAAAAAAATGAATAACTTTTAGGTGGGTTTGAATCTTCATCTTTAGGTAACCATCTAGGTTCTATAGTTAAGTTTATAAAGTTGGAGGCTCTTTGAACTAAGAGATAATCTAATGAACTACCGGGATTTAACGTTATTACATCTTCATATACAGATGTATTTTGCCATATTCTAAAAAGATAAACTAGTACTTGATTTTGACCGTTAGAATCAAATAGATTAGCATTAGTGGGATTCCAGCTCAGTAAGACTTCGTCATTAATTCTATATTCTTCGCCTCCTTTAGGATTACAAAACAGTTGAGCGGTCGAAATATCATCGGCAGGATTATAAGGGTCACATATTGCTAGAATAACAAAATATATTTATATATGTATTAGGATCTAATTGAATTCAATACAAAACACAGATTATTTATTAAGACTAAGTGTCAGCCGAAACGTTTAGATATAAATTTTTCTCGTACTAACCTTAAATAATTAGAATGTCGTGACAAAAAAAAAAAAAATAAATAAACAGAAATAATTCACAATAAATAAATATAAAGTTATAAAAATCCATTATACACTGAGATATTTGGACATTACTTACATTCAACAGGTATTAGTTCTGACAGTATAACAAACAAGAAACATAAAACTTTTGCTATATAAAAGATATGGGGTTTCGTATTTCCAGAATATGATATTGTTAAATAACTATTTAATAAAATGTCCTTTACTTTTAACATTATATTTAAAATTTAAAAGCTATTAAAGATAAAAACATCGGATGAAAAAAAAAAAAAAAGGATTGAATAAGAAATAAAAATATAAAAGAATGTTGTGTTTGACGATAAACTAGAATTAATAGAAATTAATATTAATCTGGGAGCTAGGCGTATTCAAGTAAGTCAATAAATAAAATTATGGATATATATATATTTCGGTTACACTTAGAATTGTGTAATCAAACAGAAATTCGTGTTTCCTTTATTTAAACTCTTGAATTATTAGATATCACACGATCATATCCGAAAAAGACAATTGTAATTAGCTAAATATAACTTTTTCCGACGATCCTCAAATTCTTTGGTCAAAACAGGAAAAAGAGACCCGGACCGGATTATAAATATCTCCTTCATTCATTTACGTCAGCATAAAATTAGCAATTTTATCATGAATTGGACAGGAGGAAAAAGGTTTTATTATTTTATTTTCCTTTTTTTTTACCCAATATTCAAAATGAAAGATTAAAAAAAAATAAATCACACTTTAAGGAATAAGATTAAAGTAAAATTAGAACTTCAGAAGCAAAAGGAATTCTTTAATCGTCAACGCCTTAAGAAAGTGCACTCATTTCTCAGTATTGAACCAAGACTTACACGTGCTTTATCCAGTATCGATGTTGTACGCCGTAGCGAAACTTTCAATAACAATTTATCTGATACAAAAGAACCTTCTGATATCGATATTGAGTTTCAACATACTGAAAAAGGCACTGGCAATATTGACAAATTTGAACTTGATGATGACAATATTGATCGAGGTTTAATTCTCATACATTCGTTAAATTATATATAATTAACTGCATTGTTTACAATGTTCTAAAACTTCCCAAGATATCACGAAACGCAAACAATTTCTTTTGCAAGTTAATGATTGGGCAGGTACCGTAATGCAGATCATACTAATTAAATCGTTTTATAAATTATTTCTCGGTATTACAAATAGTCTATATTTTTTATAGGATTCGAGGGGTCACAAAAAAAATGAATATAAACCAGGTAATATATAAAGTATATATCGATATTAATATTTTAAAGAAATGATTCCCATTAACTTGAATTATCACTAGATAGAACTCGCCCGCATGCAAATGTTCGTAATATTCTTGAAAAATTTAACATTATCAATCTGTTTTTTTTTTATGAAATCGAATTTTGAATTATTTAATATCATTCGTTCCAATAATAGTGTAATCTCTCCCTCGGTCTAAAATATTCAAAAATTTTAGATTAAATGCATTTGATATTGGCTTTTATAATTATTTAACAAAATACATAAATGTAGTAATAATCAAAATTTTAATCATACAAATACTTTTATTAAGCGTGTATAAATAAATCTGCAATAATGAATTAATAGTTATTTAATAATGATATTAAATGTAAATAAATGTGTGAAGAAAAAAAAATTAAACTAAAAATTTCGTAAATATATTTGAGGCAGTATTAGATAAATATGTAATTGAGTAGAACAAAAAATAAATGTAATATAATAAACAGATGCAATAACCATGTAATAATAATAGGAGAAGGTAAATAAAGAAAACTGAACGGAGGGTTCAGAAATACAAGGAAACTCAAGAATAATTAGAAAGATAATAATCACCTTGTAATACAAATATGCAGGTAAAACATAAGGAAGAAAGATTATATATGATATATGAAAGTTTGTGTAATATATAATATTTAAAATTATACAGAAAAAGATTCGGATTTATTATTAAACCATTGATTCACTATAACTATTCTATTCTATTCAAAAAGTAATTCAATTAAAAAATTTTTTATCATATAATTATAAAGTAATTTGCTTAACTGAATTTTGGTTTTTTCTTTTCTATTATTACTAGTATTTAAAATTTAGCTAACTCTTAGTAATAATTACTATTAAGTATCTTGTTAATTTAAATTATATAATAATATTTCTAAATTTCTTTGAAGATTTTTTTTTCTAAAAGTTGAATTAGTTTAAAGAAATAATATATTATAAGATATATTACTAAATCTTAAAATGTTAAGAAATTAATTTTATTAAATTGTTATAAAATATTTGGTTAATTTTTTCTATAAAAAAACATTTTTTTTTAAATGATTCAGAGTGGAGAAATTATGTTTATTATATTTAAAAAGTTAATGAGCTTGTTAATAAATATATTTAAAGTTAATCTTAATAAAATGTTTAAATTATTATTCATTATTTTCTGTACATGCATCATCTCAAACAAATATTTGAAGAATTACACATAATCATTTGATACTACTCTCAAATAGAGAATAAGAAGGCATTAATTAGAAAGATGTCTTGATTAAAAAATTGCATTAGGATTAATGAATAACTTCATAATAAAGTCATGCTATATCACGAGTTTTTGACAAAGTTGCATATAGTAAAATTATCAAGATTGTTAAACAAGATCAAAGAATTAAATTAAAGATTATATTTATCTTAAGTACACCTATATTTATGATTCAATATTTAAATTATTATTAATTTACAATACTTTTTGTATTTAAAAATAACTATCAATCAAATAAATTTATGATGGATCAGTCTTTTTTAAATTGACTTTTTCGATTTAATTATTGTAAAAAATAAAGAAGAAAATGAATTTATTTATTCTTATTGAGTTCTTGCAATAATTAATGATGAAAAGGAAGTTAAAGTAAAATGACAAATAGATATTGACACTTGATAATGATCTCATCTAAGAAAAAACTTTAGCACTAAATCCTCTCCCTTTTGACTAGTATTAATTCTGTAATGTAATAGCAATAATAACCATTTTTTTAAAATCACAATAGTTAAAAACTAAAAAAAAACAAGTCAAATTTGTATCTTTTTATCCTTTTATGATTTTTGAAAAAAATAAAATAAGATAAAACTTTTAAAACAAACTCTGAAAATATTCATAACATTTTTATTTTCAACTAGTTCTAAAAACATATAACGAAAAATGAAAATCTTTTTCGAAAAATTTCATGTTAATAAATTTAAGGATGATAAAATTTAAATTTAATTCATCTTTAATTCAAGAAATTTTTTTAAAAAAAACTTGAACTGATGTATTTTTTATAATCAAAATTACTCATTTTGTTAGTCTGGAGCATAGCGAAGGACTATATAATTCTATATGCTGTTTGACTCAAATGTCTAATAATTGAATTGATCAGCACAAATTCTAAATTAGTAAAAATAGCATGTTATTTATTTACGTTTTGTACCGCTTAAACTCAAATAAATTATACTGCTAAACTAAAATAAAATTGTGAAACCGCTAAAAAAAAAATTAAAAATTAAAAAAAAAAATTCAGTTGTTCACTCTCGATATCATAGAAATTAGTCATTTTTCTTCGACCTTCCTTTCTTGTAATCTTATGCAACTCTGAATCCGTTGAAGTCTTTCGTAAGTAAACTGCTTGAAATAAATATCGTTAAGCGAACGAACTCTTGATACTGCAATGAACGAAAGACCAGCAGCAAACTCTCGACTTTCAAGATCTATTTTAGCCTTTGGTAACGTAAGCCCTTAGCTCTTGTGCACTATTATTGCCTACGCGAGACATAATGGAACCTGAAATCGAGAACACAACTTCCCAGATTTACTTTTCCAAATGCGTTTAATAGGAATAATCGGAACAATATTGTCCCCTTCTGATGTTGTAATACTAGGACCTTCGTAAAGATCGAATTTTACAAAAACTACTACTGGTAGTGAAGTCGGTCCAGTTTCCACAAATATAATATCGCATATAGTTCCCATTGACCCATTTACTAACCCTCCTTCAGTCCATATGTTAGCCGTCAGCATGACACATGCACCTTTAGTCAATAACAACTGTGCTTTAAGTCCTTTTGCGACGTCTGAGTCAGCTTTTTGGGCTTCACGACCTCCATCATGAACTGCAAGAATCTTGGCTACTGGACAGTTTAACGATCTCAGCATATCTATATTAACTTTATCTACATTATCCCAAGTAGTAAGGATAAATATAGCATCCGAAAATCTATTGCATTCTATCTTGTTTAATTTCCCTTCAAAGCGTACATTGAGTTTTTTCCAATCATCTAGGCTGCAATCTCTGTCTCGTAATCTTAAAAGAATCTCTTTAAAGGATTTTTGTTCTTCTGAATCACCTGATTGACACTGAATCATATCAAGCTTATACACCTCCCAGAAATTTTTGTATAATGCTGTACCATCATTGGAAGTTGTATCGTGCGAAACGTCTTTGGCATACATAGGAAGGTCCATCACTGGTAAAAGCTGTCCAAAATCTCCAAACAAGATGATGGACCGTCCACCGAAAGGTTCGTTATTGTTTTCAGGAAAAGCTTCTCTTAATCTTTTGTCAATTAAACCAAGCATTCTCCTTCCTACCATGCTTTTTTTATCAATAATAAGGTAAATTACATCTCTTAATCTTTCTTGTAATTGCTTAAGCCTTTTACCGTCTAAATCTGAGCTTTTTTTATTGATAATTGGTATTGACAGTGTTGAATGTATTATCAAACCATTAATATTAAAAGAAGCAACTCCTGTAGGTGCGATCACCTTCACTGGTACTTTAGATCTACTGCTTTCCATTATACTTAGCCTCTTTCGTATTACCCTTATGAGATATGATTTTCCTGTGCCTGCCGTACTCATAATTATTATCCTTAATGGTTCGACTGAATTACCCATGAGTATGCTACTATAATGTGATTTTATTCTATTGAAGATAGTATTTTGCTTTTCGTTTAGATTTTCATAATCGACAGAATCATCTTTTTCTAAATCGTCTATGGCATCAGTTGAAGCTTCGTTGATGAAGTCACGCACTTTTTTAATGTCATCGGAAGAATACTGTTGATGGGTATCATTAACCCAATCGTGATTCCTATCCATGTCTCAAGAACCTAGATCGGATGAAAATACTATATTCACGTTTAATCCCATTTCAGCAAGACGCATCCAATCATACCTAAATTTCTCTTCCTCATCGTCTTCAAGCATTTCGTCTTGACTTTTTTCGTCCAGAATCTCTTCTTCATTATCAATAGGCGGTCCAAGCAAGTCAACCAGATCATTATTAATTACATCAAGATATTGATAATAAATTAATGACTAAAACACACTGTTGGATTCTCTTAATTGTTAAAGGCTTCTGTACTTTACGTGAAGGATAACATTTACCCAACAGTACTCTTCCCATTCGTCTCCGTTACGAAGAGCTGATAGTCGTGGCCATATGTGAACAATATTTTTGGTTTTACATATTACCCAATTTCCTTTAACCAATTTATGTGTTAAATGCAATTTGAATAATGAAAATTCTTCAAAATTTTCAGTTCTATTTCAGTATCGTTGTAAAACTGATTGTGTAGTCCTCCCTTCCTCTCTGTTGTCTCCACTTCCTGAGCCTGAACCCATCTCGCTGATTCATTTTTGACATTTAAAGAAACAAATGTACGGCTGGAATAGTATAACAGAATACCTAGCAAAAGGTGGCATGTTTCTTGAGCTGATATGTCCCGTTCTGCAAAACTACTCAGTAGTAGTTTCTGTATTGATGTAAGTGAAGCATCGTTGGGATTATCGTTAAGAATCTGATTGAAAATCTCCGAAAAGCCATTGACCTAGGTTCTCTTTTGCTTGTATACTTTGCTATATATTGCAAAGCTGCATGTATGCTGAGAATTGGTTTTAGATCAACATTAATCTATTATGAGGATTAATAAGTAGATCATTACGCACAGTTAAGAGTTCTGGCTGTCCTTTATCATCTTCTCGTATTAATGTATGATCTAAATGATCCTTTGGATATCCGAACTGGTATAGTTGTTGTCCTGATGATCGATTGACCCGAATGCAATACGATGAACTGCAACGTGTATGGCGTTGTAGATTGTTAATTAGTTCAATGTAATCCTGAGAACCATCATCGATTTCTTCTCCAGCTTTTTGACAGAGATGTCATTCAGGTATGTCTGCGTTCATATTCAGATTAATTGTGGTGACTATTGAATCGATATATTAAATTACGTTATTCATTTCATTTTCGTTCAACTTTATTTCGTTCCAATTAATAACGGGAGCCTTTTTAATCTTGCCTATCCCGTGTACTTGTACACTCCCCTATGTTGCCATTCAAAACGGTACCAATAATCTTCGAGGTCCCATTGTTGAATCAGCACATCTTGATAAGATTCTGTTGACGCTGTTTTACCAAATCGGACTCTTCTCCCAAATTTTCTTCGTCTGACATTAACTTGTAAAGTTCCGGCCAATGAAAATCTGCGACGCTGAATGTAAAAAAAATTAGACCTTGATGGCCTATTTGCTTAACAAAGTCTGATAATTCAGAACTTCGAGCCGTCCAGAACTGTCATGTACTGCGTAACCCTTTGCTGTATCTCATGATTTTATCAGCCAGGTTTTTATCGCCTTCAGCAATCATTTCCTGTATATCTGTGACATCGATAGGTCCATCACTTAAATTTTGTCTTATGAAAATAGAACCTTCTTGTAACGCCCTCTATCTCATCGTAAAGTTTAACGTGAAATACCTCCAATGTGGATGTCTCGCGAATTGACCATCTTTATACCACATCAAGTGCTTAAAATATTCTGCTGGTTTTATGTCCCAAGGCCGTTCAGAACAAAGATCACCCTATCCATATGGATAAAGTGTTGGGAACGCTCTCGCTATATAACTGGACGTCTGGAACTCGTTGATAGGAAAGCCATCGATTTTTGGCCATAGTAAAGTTGTATTATTACTTTGCATGCGATTAAGTGTGTCATTAATAGTGACGTCTTCCCTTGGTCTTGGAGTATTTGAAGACACAAATGAACGTACTATTCCATCATCTCCATTTTCTTCGTCTGCTGAAATCTTGTCTATTAATCATTCGTTCTGTAGCTGCAGAAGCATTTTGGTGATAGAATTATTTTCGGGTAAAGATTGGAGTATTTCTTGATTGATAATTATGTCTTTGTAGTAACGGTTGTTTGCTTTTAGCCACACCAGAGCATTACCAACTTTACCCAACGTACAATAAAGTCTCTAAAAACTGTTGAATTATTTGCTGATTCCCGACGTATCACAAGTACATCTAGAGATGATGGATTCTGTGAAAGCCGATTTGTGAATCCTTGAACGTCTTGAGGAAAGTTAATAACATTCCCTTATACCCGGTTTGTCCTCCACAGAGTCAATATACTGTCATAACAGTAAACACTTGCGCTATGAGCATTTCTTCAACTTTCGTCAGCCCTTTAAGTTCACCCAGGTCCATATTATTTTCCGCAGAAAATTTATTAGGTACCGTCTTTTCCATGTAGCATCGCTAACACTTTCCCATTATGAGAGACATTGATGGGATTCGCTCATTACATATGGGACATGATGAGTATCGAATATTATCCATTTTTTTACGAAAGTTTTGCAACATCCGATGTTCATCTTCACTAATTATTTGTGCTACTTTTGGTCTAACATTGGTTTCTTCCACTTTTTCTTGACGTTCTTCGGCTGTTTCATGACGTCTTTCGGCTGTTTCTTGACGTCTTTGAAGTTGCGCATCACGTTTTTGCTCACTTTCATGGTCAAGACGGTTCTTACGTTCCTTAGATATCTTTGTTGAATTTCTTTGTGCTCTACGTTCATGATCATTTGCAAGTCGTGCATTATGCTCTTCCTCAGTTTCATTGGCTTTTTTTCTGTGTTTTCTTTCGTGATCACATTCTAGACGTGCATCGCGCTGTTCATCCATCTCGTTCTTTTGGCTATTTCTCTTTCAGAATGTCTTAAGGTTAGTACTTCGTTTTTTCATTGTATAGTGAATTTAAATGCAGAAATCTTAAGCAATTTTATTTAATCTTTATTATGAATACTTTATTATGAATATAACTCTATAGAAATTGAAAAACAGAGTCTTCGTAAAATTAAATCTTTATTAACTAAAATATTAAGTACAATATTCTTCCATTTACATGATTAAAATCCTACCCTTTTACATTATAAAATCTAAATAATAAAAGAACAATTAAAATAAGAACTATTAACATTTAAAATTTAATATTAACAAATTGGTAATTAGATAATTAAGTAATCAAATCTTATTGTTTCAAATTAAAATCTAATTTTCCAAAGTATAACGAGGTGACACTTTGTCTGTCAGTCACACCTTTGATCAGGTAATAATCAGCATCTTACTCTGGAGTTTCCCATAAGTATTTTTTGCGTCACGGAAAGTCAGGATTAATTTTAATTAAAATTTAGGATAATCACATGATACACTATTCATCATTTTTTATTGGTTAAGATCCTAGCTCTGGACTTAACAACGGCAAGCTGTTTCCTAGTTTACTATATATTCTACAATTATACTATTTTTAATTTTAGGATTTATGAATTTTTTTTAAAATATAGGTAAAAAAAAATAAATATTTTTATCAAAATAAGAAAATAAAAAAATTCATAATCAATATTGATCTTTAATTTAAAATGTTATTTTTACCTATATTATGATAAAAAAAAATGCATAGGCACATAGTAGCATAATGTATTAAAAACAAATATATAAATATATTACATATGTTATATTAATTAATCATTTTTATAAAAGTACCTTAAATTTTTTTTTGGTAACAAATAAAATATATTTATATATATTTATTTATGATCATATAATATAAATATATGAATTTTTACATAAAAAAGAGGAATTATAGAGTAAAAAAAAATGAGTTCACAACTTATTTAGCATATGAAAATAAATTTTGCAGTTTTTCTCTATTCTATTGTAAAACTCTCATATATAAAATTAGATCTAAATATTTAAATTCTTAATTTATACAATTTGATTATTTTTTTGTAAAAAAAGAAAAAGATATAAAAATATATTAGATATATTCTAATAAAAAATCATTTGTTTAGAATGAACCACTAAAATTTCAGATTAATCTGAAATTTTCAGTTTAATTCAGATTTTTTTTATTTAGATTAGATTTATAATCTGAAAAAAATCTGAACTAAACTGAAAATTTCAAATTGAATTTTTTGCAATTTGAATCTAAACTGAAGTCAATTTGAATTGAAAATTTTTAGATTTATCTAAACCATTTAAAGCTTTAATAAAAATTATATATTTTATATATATTTTACATACATTTTATAAATTCTATGTTATAATTTCATATATTTTATAAGAAATAAATTTTAATATAATAAATATATAAAGAATTTTAAAGATGTAATAATTATATAAAAATGTATAAGGAATTTAAATTTATAATAATTATAATCATATAATAAAATTATATTGCAATATATAAATTAATACAAAATTATAAAAATTATTTTTTTAATTAGTTTATATTAATTTAAAACTAAAGTATATAAATAATAATATAATAAATAATATAATGCAATTTTATGTAATTTGTTATATAATAAAATAATTTTTATATATAAAAAATAGATTTACAAATTATTTTAAATTTTTCATAAATTTTACTTTATTTTTAAAATAAATTTTTTAGAATATATGGAAGGCAGTCAGTAAAAAAGAGGAAATTTACTTTTTAGTTAAAAGTTTTTTTATTGGTTTACTCTGCTGATCATAGTCATATGAACAAAATAACTTAATAACCAAAATTATTCAAAATTTATAGATTTTTACCTTTTCTATTGACTGCCTCCCATATCTTAATATATTCTATAAATCTTATCATCAAATATAATTTTTTAACATTAAAATATTAGCATATGGGGCCTTTGCAATAAAAAGGGAGAAAACTCTAATAAACATGATTTTGAGATATTTAGGTTTGAAAGTTTTTGATAAGTAAACAGATCGACAATCCAGCAGTATTAAAAATAGATATTAAAATTAAAATAGATCTTTATTTTTAACAATTTTTTTATATTATAAATTATTATTGCCGCTAGAATTTTTTTGACTTTCTCACTTTTTCTTCAAGCGGAGGTAAGCTTTTATGGGTAAGATTAATTTCTTATAGAATGGTACTAACTGTCCTTTTCTTTCTTTTTTTTAGGAATCGGCTTGGACTTTTTCTCAACACAGACTTAGGGTAAGTTTTTCATAGGTGGGCGTGTTAGTTTTTTCTTTTAGAATGATACTGACCATTTTTTCTTTCTTCTTTTTTTAGGAATCGGCTTGGACTTTCTTTCGAAACGGATTTGTGATAAGTTTTTTATGGGTGTGTTAATTCTTTCTTTTGGAACGGTACTAACCATTTTTTTTTCTTTTTTTTAGGAATCAGCTTGGACTTTTTCTCGAAATGGACTTGTGGTAAAGTTTTTTATGAGTGTGTTAATTCTTTCTTTTAGAACGGTACTAACTATTTTTTCTTCCTTTTTTTAGGAATCAGCTTAGACTTTTTCTCAAAACGGACTTGTGGTAAGTTTTTTATAGGTGTGTTGTTAATTCTTACTTTTGGAATGGTACTAACCATTTTTTTTTTAGGAATCAGCTTGGACTTTTCTCGAAACGGACTCATAGTAAGTTTTTTATGGGTGTGTTGTTAATTATTTCTTTTAGAACGGTACTAACCATTTTTTTCTTTCTTTTTTTAGGAATCAGCTTGGACTTTCTCTTGAAACGGACTTGTGATAAGTTTTTTATGGATGGGTTGTTAATTCTTTCTTTTAGAATAGTACTAACCATTTTTTCTTCTTTTTTTTAGGAATCAGCTTAGACTTTCTCTCAAAACGGACTCGTGGTATATTTTTTATGGGTGGGTTGTTAATTCTTTCTTTTGGAATAGTACTATCTTTCTTCTTTTTTTTTAGGAATCGGCTTAGACTTTCTCTTGAAACAGACTCGTAAGTTTTTATGGGTGGGTTGTTAATTCTTTCTTTTGAAACGGTACTATCTTTCTTCTTTTTTTTAGGAATCAGCTTGGACTTTTTCTCAAAATGGACTTGTGGTAAGTTTTTTATGAGTGTGTTAATTCTTTCTTTAGAACGGCACTAACCATTCTTTTCTTTCATCTTTTTTAAAGAATCCGCTTGGACTTTCTTAAACGAACTTGTAAGTTTTTTATTATGGACGAGTTAATTTCTTTCTTTCAGTAACTAATCATTCTTTTTTCTCTTTTTTTTAGGAATCGGTCAACTTTTTTTTTTAAGTGGATTTTATGGATTTAATCAGATAGAACGAACCTTATAAGAAATAGTGTTCTTTTTTATTGGTTGAAGAATTTTTACACTAACATTTTTATGAAATCAATTTTAAATAACAATGACATAATATAAAATCAGAAAAAAAATTTTTTTCAATCATTTTTTTATTAAAAAAAAAGTAAAATTATTTATTTACTTGTTTTTGAATGGTTGGTAATGGACAATAATTATTTTGCTTTTGAGGATCTCCGATGTGTTGATGTATCTGCTCATATAAATACCATTGCCTTTCGGCTGATAATCCTGCAGGAAAAATTTCTTGTGGAAATCCTTTAATTTCTTTTTTTTTTATAATATCTACAATTTGCTCATCCCCATCAATTGTTTTTTTTACTTTTACTTTACCTACATTATTACT